TCTTCATGATTTGATGGTTTGTGCAGAGAAATCTGCAGTAATTCTGATAGATGTTCCCTTGTAAGTGGTCTGTTTCTTGTCTCTGACAGCTTTTAATATTCTGTTCTTGTATTGAATTTCTGGAATTTTTATTATTATATGCCTGGGTGTTGCTCTGTTTGGGTTGTAGGTGGCTGGGGTCCTGTATGCTTCATACAACTGAGTATTTTTACCTTTTGCTAAATTAGGAAAATTCTCCTGGATTATTTCTGTGAGTAGCTTTTGTAGTTCATTTGTTTGTGTCCCTACTTCTTCTTTTATGTTCTTAATTCTTAAGTTATGGATCCTCTTATCATCTTCTAGTCTTTGTATTATTGCTGTTTGTTTCTTTGTTACTTTTAAGAAGTTTTTCATTTCATTCTCCCATATTACAAATCTGCCCTCCAGTTCAGATAGTCTGTCCTTAGTTTCTTTCAAGCTGTTATGCCAGTTTTCGATAGAGTTTTTAGTTTCCTGGTAGTCTCTTTGAACCTGCTTCATGTATTCTATGCTTTCTCTATTTTCTCCATCAAACAATTCTCCCCTCTTTTTCTGTTCTTCCATTCCACCATCTGTTTTTTCTTGGGTGGTGCTTAGCATTTCTCTAACTATTCTGCTTATTTCTAGCTTCAGGTCATTAATAACTTCATTCCTGAACTCATCTATGAGGCTCTCTAGTTGGCGCTTTATGTCTATTGGTGCGGTGACCACTATTGCCTGTTTCTCAGGATTGGGGGCCGAAGGGCCTTTCTTGTTGCTCCCTCTTTCCATATTCTTTGTTCCTTATATATGCAAGTGTATATAGGAGGCCCAGCTTCCCTCCCTGTCAGCCACAGCCTGATCAAATTGCGCCGGCTACGTGTTCCCGCTCACCGCAGCACACCAGGAAGTTGCAGACCAGGCAGCCTACTCGGGGCCCGCCCCTCCAGGCCACCCTCAGGCTCTGGGATCTGGGTTGTGCTAGCCTACTGGGTCTCAGCCAGCAGCATCATGTAGGCTAGGCACTTCTCACCAATCCAGCTTGAGAGGGGAATACGTGGCTGAAGTCGCTGCAGCGCCCCGCTCCCGCAAGTCCGCCCAGTCCCAGAATGTCCTCCACTGGAGTCTCCTAAACTGTGGGAGAGTGTCAGTTTCTCCCACTCACCTCACCGCAAGTCAATGCACAGCTCCCTGCCCATCCTGTTTTCAACTCTGTTTGCTGATTCCCGTTCTCAGAGTTTCCGCACGTCTCTCTCCCTGCTGAGCCGATATAGATGCAGCACTGGCAGCGGGAAACCCAAATCGTGGCTTCCAATGGCACAGGCTCCAGCTTCCACACTGAGACTTATCTGTTCCTGTAATCCAAGAACTCTAGGTAAGATAGGAGGATGGTAAGTTCAAGCTGACTGGGCAACTTAGTGTGATCCAATCTTGGCAAGATCGCACTTGACTCAGCGGCCCTCTGGACAAATGGCCAGAGCCTCCCACAGCAAACAGCAAAGGTAGACAGACACGCATCACAGCATCAAGGCAGGAAGCAGCCCATTAGTCTTGGTGAGAGGGGCCCTACTGGGAATCTGGCCTCTCTTTCCAGATTTTCTTTTTCCTTTGCCTGCCTTTCTAAGCGGAGGTTTTGAGTTGCTGGATGCTGAGTGCTTGTGTATAGATGGGGTGTTTTTCAGGAGAGGGGTGGGGACTGGCTTCTTAGGCTGTGTGGTGGTCAGCGACATGCTGGAGCAGAGCTCATGTCTCAGCACTGCAAGTTGTTCTTACTGCGTCCCCAACATCTTCCAAGAGTAGAGCCAAGATCTTCCCATTTTCAGAATAGCTATGAGATTTAGAACTGGTTTAGGAAAACCAAGCGTTGGGGTCACCTTTACTTTCTCATTCACTACACTATTTTGTTAGTCTTGTTACTGAAAAAGAAAAGAGTATTGGTTTATTTCATGCAAGAGTAAATGTCAATTTTGACTATCAAAAACACAGCAATTCTAAAATCATAGCAACATGAGCTTATTATCTCATCATTCAGAAAGAGATATTAGTCACATTTTCATCTACATCAGGTTATATTTTGTGCAGAGGTGATTTTCAATCTTTTCACTTTCCTGCTGAGCTATATACCTGGCCCTGGGGGTCATGCTGACTTTGTCTTTCACCACACTATTTTACAGCATTGCTACATGGGATGAAATGACCAGTGCTTTATTTCATCGAAGAAGTAATGTCAAGTATGATTATTGTCAAAAACACAAGAAAGCATAGAATCATAACAATCATTGCTCACCAACCAGGATTAATTACCATTAAAAGATTTACTTACATGGGGGTTATTATTATTTATCAAACTTACTATAAATGGGATTATATTTTGTGCACAACTTATACTCATTCAGTTAACAAATGAGGAGCAGTATTACTGCCTGATGAAGTTTTCATTAAACAAATACAATGAGTGATTTAGACTACTCTATTTTCTGATACAGCGCTACTTCGTTACGTATACAGAATGGCTACATAATAGAACTGTTTAGACATATCATGGTCATAAATGTTCCTGTGTTAAACGTTCACTTACTTAAATTTGTACAGACACCTGTACAGTTGAGTTCCCAGAGATAAAGTAAGTTAGTGATAGAATATGTTTCCCTGCAAGAGCAGGGTGTATTTCTGAGCAGAGGAACCTCATGGCCCCTGAGCCAGCTCTTCTACATATTTCAGCAAAAGCTTTGCAATAAATCAAGTGATTACCCACCCATGTTGCACATTCAGAGGAAATAGGCTCTTTGATCCTAGTGGTGGGGCCTGGCCTTTCCAGAGTGGCTACCCAAAGAGCAGTGATCTGGGTAAGAAACAGGCTGAGTAGGATGGTAGCCTGGCCCCTGGTTTTGCTCTGCTGTTGAGTTTTGCAAGCACACTCTCTGAAAAGTGGCTCAGAATCAGTGCCCTTGTTTCAAAGTAAGTTTCCTGAGGCTAAACACACCATGCTTTCCCAAGCTCTCCATGGAGGTCATGGGTTCTTTGTTTCACAGCAATTTCTACACACACATTCGTCTTGTCTTGTGTGCTTTTGGCTTTGCTTATGTTTCTTACCTTTCTATTCATTCCTTTCTCCTAGTTTTTTGTTTTCCTTGATAGGTACTAGGTTAGCACTGTGTATAACAAGCTCAGAATATCTGAAAACATAAAAGGTCTATGAGGTTAGTTTTAGTTTGTAAGAGGCCAAAGTTATTTGCATCATAAAGGATGCACAGTATTTTTTCAACTCCTGTTTTCATAATGATGAAATATGAGGTTATTTCCTGCTACTTCCTCAGCAGTGAGCTGGACCATGAGGAAGCAAGGACAGAAGAAGGCCTCAAGTGTGTGTGTTAACCAGCAGCTGCACTATGTGTAGCCTGAGTCTTGAGGATACTGAGCTGTGTTGTGCTCTGTCCTCCCTTCCCAGGAAAGAATGTTTTTCTATTGCTGGAACGTGAATGTGAACTATAACTGTGACCACAGACACACACAGTGTGTCTTTCTCATCTTCCCGCTTTCCTAGGACTCTGGGGTCTGGTGAATAATGCTGGTTTCTTCATCCCCGTTGCTCCCCATGAGTGGCTGAGCAAGCAAGACTTCATGAACATACTCACAGAGACCCTGGTGGGGGTGATTGAGGTGACTCTGAGCCTGATGCCTTTATTGAGGAAGGCGCAAGGCCACGTGGTCAATGTCTTCTGTGTCATGGTCTTCGTGTCGCTCCATGGTGGTGGTTACTGCATCTCCATGCATGGTGTGGAGTATTTCTTGGACACTGTTAGGTTCTGGACAGAGATGGGGTTGCTGGTGTTCTTGTTTCCATTGTTTTGGAGTAGGCTATTTCAGGATTTCAGTGAGTCTTAGCCTTAGAGACCTATCTTGGAGATCCTCCCTTCTGGCTTGAGATTCTCTCTCACTTGCCCTCTCTGGGTTCATGTGGTCATTTGTTCAGAGCCACCATTCCATATCTTCTGTCGAGAAAAGGCTTGTGGTCAATTAAACGTGTCCTTCTGTGGAGGAGGGCTCACAGGTGGAAAGCCTCTGATGGTATTCGAACAGGGATCATTTGGACCCAGATCCAGCCAGATGACTTGTATGAGTCAGCTGGCATGAGTTTTGTTACCCAACTCAGTAGATGCTTATTGGTATTTTGTTTGCATGCATGATAAAGGTCTTCTTGCACAATACTAAGATTGCATTCTTGAGCTAAAGCCTCTGGTATATGTGTGAAAGGGAGAAGAGACACAGAATCATCAGTGTCATCTCTTAGAGTTGTTTGCCCAAGTTAGCCTTTGTGCCCATGGCAGCTGGAAGGTTTGTGTAAGTGTGCTGGGCAGGTGGGCACATGTAGGCTTGTGTAGGGCCTATGGCTCTGAACAGGTGTGCACTTCATCCCGTTTGTAGAATGCCCCTCGGAAAGGAATGTGTTACCAGAGTCCCCTTTACTGATCACAATCCAGGGACCCTGCTTGCTGTCAGGCAGAGGTGTCTCAGACTATGGGTTACCAGGGCTAAGTCAGATTCACCATATTTCCTAGATGACAGAGCAGTGGGGAGTGTCCTGGGGCAGGAGAGGGGAAGCATGGGCTTGATTGTAGAGGAGGTAACATGGCCCAAGCATGTAGATCCATTGCCTATAAAGGAAATAGGAGTAGATCATTTTTGATACAAAGTCTACTCTTTGGCCAGACTATGCTCTGTTCTATATCCTTCCACCTCAGGCTCAGAAACAGTAGTTAATATGTATGTGCTCAATGTTAAATGGTAGATAGCTCTTCATGAACAGGTAGGATTTAGACCTGCATGACCTGGTATAAGCAAAATGCCTAAAAGAAGATTCACACACAAACACACAATGCCTAAATGCTAAACTTTCAAATTCCTCCTATCCCAGTCTTACATGGAAGTGTTGTTACTGGTGTGTAACTGTGCTTTGCCTACGGAGACTGCTGATGTCCTTACCCGTTGCCTTTGCCTTGCAGGAGAGAGCTCTCCTATTTTGGTGTGAAGGTGGCTCTAATCAAGCCTGGTTACCTGAAGACCAATGGGAACAGTACTGAAACATTCTTGCAAATTTGAAGACGGTGTGAGACCAGGCCAGCTCAGAGGTCAAGATTTATGGCGAGAAGTTTCTGGAATCCTGTAAGTGATCTTTGGATGATAAGGAGAGAAGCACACATGAGGTTTCCCCAGGCTCTTGTTTGTGCAGCAAGTGAAGACATTTAGTTACTTGGTGCCACATGGGTTCTGCTTACCTAAGAAAGGATTCTGGCTTATTGGAACTTAGTTCAGTCTTTCATCTAAGCTCATTATTTTTATGAGGATAAAATTAAGGCAGAGAGGAGACATGTGTGTCCTCATGGCCGTCTGGGGTGAGAGGCAGCTTAATCCACAGCTTAGAGAATTTCCAGTGCTCAAAAGATCTTCAATTTATGCAACTCAGATATTCAATGAAGAGAGGTGGAGTTGACTTAGTGTGGAACCGTAGTTTGCTATAAATGAGTTGTGCTAATTCCTGAGAAATTAGCAAACATTTGACTAGCCAAAGTTTCTGAGGGTGAAGATCTTGAATTTTTAGGGAAATCTTAGTTATTTTTCCCTATGTTGGTCCTAGTACAGGAGTGGTGGGAGTTATATATTCTCATTTTTATAGACCTCAATTATCCCCGATTATTGGAGAAAGTGTGGAAATCAGAGCTGTCTTCAGTCATGGATTGCATGGAACATGGGCTGGCTGCCAGTCACCCTCGCACCCGATTCTCACCTGGTTGGGATGCCAAGATCGTTTACCTCCCTGTGAGCTATCTGCCCACATTCCTGGTGGATTTCTTTGCCTACTTGGGCTCCCCAAAGCCAGGGAAATCTCAGTAAAGCCAACTGTTGGGGGCGTGGTTGCTGAAATAGGTAGTGTATGTGGGTGGGACATGTTGATTAGGGGCAGTGGGTGGAGGAAATCAGCTCTCACACATCAGGGTACCTATCCCAGCTCCTTGGCGCAAAGGATTTTTCTCAGATATTACTCAATACTGGTGAAGTGAGAGGGAACAAGTTAAAGACTTCTGCTGAGGAACAGAGACTGTGCTTCACCCCCTGATGCCCAGTTGACTGAAATATCTGCTCTGAGCAACATGGTCAATTCTGAGGGCTCTACCCACTTGGGGTGGCTGGGATCAAGTGGGAGAACTCAGAGCCCACACCTCATTTACTCCTTGCATTCCTCCTGATGTTATGTGTCAGTTATGGCTGCTATCTGTTTTCCCAGAGGATAGAAATGGCCTGGGTTATGGATTGTTGGGATGGGGTATAAGAGGCACCAGTCTATTCCCTTCTCCTTAGGTGTTGGTTGGGAGGAAGATTTTTCTGCAGGGATCATGGCAGAGGACATACAAACCAATTTCTTTGTTCATCTTGAAGTCATAGCCTCCTTTTGATTTCTTTGATTTTATAATAGAAAGATTTAGGTGCTTGACAAGACCACCCATGCCCACATTCCTGGTGACACATTGCCTGGAAGATAAGTGAGGTGTGGTGGTGAGAGATAGGCATGTTCATGAAATTCGAGGAATGGAAGGATGACTTGTGGAATGAGTAGACAGTACAAGTTGAGTTATCTTTGTCTTTTCTCAGGCTTTTCTGCTTCAAAATGAGAAACAGTTATTTCCCTTCCAAAACATCTTAGTAATCCAATTCATAGAAGTAGGCAGTTGAATGTGCAAGCAGAGTGGAGATAGGCAGGTTCTAAATCTTTTTGTTTGCTAATACCTGTTGGGGTCTGTTCCTTGATCCCCAATCTCTTAAACCAGTGTATCGTGAAGGCCCAAATGAATGTGAGAAGCAGTATAATCTTTAGGGTTCCAGGAACACCAAAATCCTCTGTAGTGTTTGTGACTTTGATTGGTGAGACTGACAGTGCCTCTGCGTGGCCCATATTTATTCAAAGAAGGTAGACATTGAGTGGAAAACAGGAAACCTGAGCAGGATCTTGGCAGGGGAGAAATGAATCCCTCCCCTAGTAACAGATGATGCTAATCAAGGAAAATTATCCTAGGAGACGTTCTCCAGGTGTTCTCAGCTGTGGCCTATCTTGCCCTTTGAGGTGTCTCCCCCTTCTCACTGCAGCTACACCAGGGTAATGCCACAGCCCTACCTGTGTATTCAGCTCAGTGGCTCCATCAAGTACCACCATCCCTGTGACCCTCAGTGACCAATCTGTCCTCTAAAGTCATTGTAATATTGACCAATGCCATTCCTCAAGTCCCTGCATCTGTTCTACTTTCACACCCCTCAAGTTGCACTTGTGGACAGGAATCTTTCCTTTCCTTCTAATGCTTTGTTGAGCAACTCTTGTGTGCAAGTTAGCAAGTTGAATTATCCTTGACTCCGTGAGAGGTGTTCCAGTGTTCGTGACAATGTTCTCAAGTGTAGGCTGAACTGAGTATGTGTATACAGAAAGCCACAGGGATTCCTGGGCTAATTCAAGCTGCAGTTGTGAGACAAACTGCAGTTGTGAGGTACCTCTCCAGTAAGTTAGTTTCCTTTTCTTTATAAAGCTTTAAGATATGAAACCATTAGGGAACCTCATGTATTTGAAAACTGACAGTAACTTATGGCCCCTATCGCAGAGCCATTTTTTTTTCGTATTTGACTGATACTTAGAAACATTAACATTGGACATTTTTTTTTTGTTATTGCAGACTGAACCTAGGGCCTCCTGCATGCTAGGGAAAATTTGTACCACAGAACTAAATACCTGGTCTTTTGTATTTTATTTTTGAGGTAGAGTCTTGCAGATTTTCACAGGACTAATTTCAACTTGCTTAGCCTTGTAAATAGCTATCGTTTCCCCCAATATTGTTTGCTAAAATGTACAGTACAAATTAATGTGGTTCTAGGTGATGTTTTGAGAGTCATGCACTGAAAAACTTATATGGAATTTTGAGTCGCGTCTGGGAATGTTGAAGAAGCAAGGAAGACCAAGAGGAACCCTCGAGCAGAGCCCAGTCTCTGATTGGCTCAGTACAATTCATTTAAAGAATAGAGCAACAACTTTTATTTAGTGTGAAGCTTCCTGAATTTTTCCATGTATTTATTACTGTTCATTCAGGAAAAATGTTTGCATAAATGCAGTCTGCTCTAGAAAAATAAATGGCCTTTCCATTATAAAAGATTTCTAATATCATCGCATGTAATGAACATTCAAATAAGGAGAAGCTAGGATACCTCCTATGCCCAGTACAGTTTGTTACAGCATGAAATAAGCTCCACTAAGTACAACTGGCATGTGATTCACAGTGTTCTCCTGCATGCCTTACTGACATTCTCCCCTGAGCAAGTCAACTGCAGCTTAACAACTGATTTAAAGTAGTCCAGTGTACCCAATCAAATAAAGTATGTTTACTCAACTTTATTTTCTTACTCAAACTTTTTTTTCTAAATTAAAGCTTTTTTCTACCCCTTTCAACTTCCTTTTCCTCTTCCCATTAAGTCCCATCCTGAAAGTTTCAAGATGTACACTCGTGCTAGATATAAAAGTGTACTTCAGAAGCATTAAAGGAAGCTTTTCTTCTTCAGGTTTTTTCTTGTACAAATCTTGTAGTCTGTAAGGCTTCTCAATCAACACCAAATATTTAAGTTCCTCTGCTGTAAACCAACATTATTTCACACAACAAAAACCTATCATTTCTGCCCTGTTTTGAGGAATGGGAAAAGAGCCCCCAGAGCCCTTTAACAGTAGGACCTTACAGGTATAAGCTGTTCAGTGCTGTTCAATGCAGTAATCACCAAAAGGTACACCCTGTCTTCTCGATCACATCAGTGCCCTTTAGGAAATCAAAAATTACCTGCAAGCAATATAGTACATAGGTTGGCTTCTGAAAAACTTTTTTAAAAGGCATCATTAAACTTAGTGACATATTGTGCTTATCACCACTTTTACCACACTCACAATTCAGTCTTTCACATTATAATCAAGCATAGTTGTAAGAAATTATAAAGAAGACTTTGCTACAAATGACAGGTTAGGAAACAGATAGTTGACTTTTTGTAGAAGCCCATAGCCTCTGCTGGCACTGCAATAACCACACATATTTTAAACAAATTATGCACCTTACTCCTTGGCAGAGCAAAAGAAATCTTACTCCCATAGTTTTTTTTTGAGAAGAATGTGGTGATGGACAACGAATAGATTGGCTGTTGACTCTCATCACAAACACAAGCAAAAGCAGCAAATGACATTCACACCAGTGTATTCATTTTGTGCATCTCTGAAGCAGCTCCACAAATGTGAGTTTAGTAAACCTTTCCTGCTTTCATTTTAGGTGTGGGATATTTTGTCTCAGCAATGTGGGAAAAGTAACCAAGACAGCCTACTTCTTTTTCCTCTTCTTCACTGCAGACTTCTTTCCTGAATGTCGGCCTGGTTCCTCTTGAAGGAGAAAGGCACCCCTAGGAGGCTAAAACCATCCAGGTGTCCAGCCAGCTTTTTGCTGAGAACAAATACTTAGCTCTTAAGGCAGAACTGAATGGATACAGTGTTGTCTCTCTTCTGGCTTGTGTCATGGATAAGGTGAGCTTCAGAGGTGAGTAGGAAATTTCTCATTGAAAGTTCTGTTGGCCAGAGGTTTAGCTCAGTGGGGTAACTGCCTGCTGGGCAGATGCAAGGTCATGAGTTTGATCCCCAGTACCAGAGGGGAAAAAAAAGAAAGGTGGTCTGTTATTCTATGATTTACTTTTCAGAGTTTGGTTGATTGGAGGAGGCCTGAGCTATAAATCTCTGGTTTGTCTGCTCCTCCCAACTCCCCTAGCATCCCCCTTAGCATCCCCTTGCCCTTGTAAAGTGGCACCCTCTGTGTCACATTGAGAGCCCATCCATGGGCTGTGGCTGTGATGTCCATCCTCTATTCTCATCGTTGGTCTCCTCAGGGGAAGCTCGGCCATGAATTCCCCCTGGATGTGGTTATAGTTCAGCACTCAGAGCTGGGCCAAGAGTCAGGGAGTCCTGCTGTCTCTGGTGAATGTTCAATGGAGTCTATTGTGCTTTTAGTTCCTCAGAGTCAGAGAGGACTGGATTCTGGACCTGTGAGCCAGCAGGGGAGGCCCCAAAGTGGAAGGTGGAGGTCACATTATAGGCCTTTGGAACAACTCAGTCCTAGTGTATGAGAATAGGTCCTGAGGTGCCATATGACTAAGCAGAGGCAGGTAGGTCTAGGGTTGCACAGAGTGTAGGTATAGCGGGACTTCTCAATAAGCCAAAGTGTGGGTTTGTGGTGCAACAAAACTAATTGGATCCTTCGAATTTGGGTAACATAGGGAGACATATGTATGGGTTAGCACAAAATTTGCTTCATGGTAGCATAGGTGGACTTGGTTTAACTCAAGCTGGCATCAAAGTGTCAGGGACATTGTGAAGCCCTGGTCTCCTCAGACCACTCTAACAATTTCATTTACTTATAATGTTCCTAGAAATAACACAGTAAAAACCTGCTAGAAATATTCTGGAGCAGTCATGGTGGTTGTGATCCAAGATGGCTGTAGTCATGTCCATTTCATCTGTTTATCTGGGCAAAGGCCTTCTTCAACAGGTGAATGTCATTACTGTTACACGTGGTACACGGAAGTCACTCTGTTAAGCCTTCCATGAGCTCTGGACGTTTTATTCCTCTCCCTTGCCCATCCCTTCCTCACCCCATTATTTGCTTTAGCCCTCAGATTCGCATTGGGGGTTCCAAGTCCATATTTTTGTTAGCTCTCATTCTAAATACACTCCATTTGGTGTGTACTCCTCTGGTCTTCTTGGGTAGTACTACAGGAAATAAAAGTGTCTTAATTTTTGGAGGAGATATTGTGAGTTGAAAGAAGTAACTCATTACATATTTGTTCTCCCTATAAGTGTAGTTTGCCAACACCTACCTGTGTTCAGGAGGTCCATGATATAAGATGCTGACCTGAGGAGACAGTCTGACCCTGGAACCTGATCAGAGAGATGCATGTGCTATGGGCGTGTTACATGGATCTTGCAGAGGCACAAGAAAGCAGAGAGATATTGATGCACTAGTGACAAGATGCTGATTAGTCTAGTTTTTCTTGGAGGCAGGATATGGGACATTCAATGGCATCCATGTATAACAAAACAAAAGCAATCCACCAGGTGAGGTGTCACATGTCTGTAACCCAAGCATTTGGGAGAGTGACGCTGGGTGATTGCCATTAGTTATAGGCAAGGCTGGGCTCCAGGGTGAGTTCAAGATGAGCCTCAACTACATGATGAGACCTTGCCTCAAGGAAAACAAAGAATGGAAAGAAACAAATAAAAACATACATCCCAAATAGAAAATGTAAACACTACTGAAAAAAAAAAAAAACCCTCCAAAGAAACCACACCCCAAAAGCAGTGCAAAGTGCAGAGAGGTGGGGCAGAATCACAAAAACACTGTTCCAGAAGTCAGTGATAAAGCAGTGATCCCATTTCAAGCCAGGTCACTTAGAGGCTGCCACACTCTACAACAGACTGAGATCTGATTTCCTCTTTTCCTTCTGGCTGAACACAGATCAGACTCTTATCTTGCGCACTGTGCCTGTTTCTGGTTTCTGTGAAGTTATGTTGCTGTACCTGGCAGCCCTCATGGGTCTGTACTACCTCGTGCGCTGGTACCGGGAGAGACAGGTGGTGAGCCACCTGCATGACAAGTATGTCTTCATCACGGGCTGTGACTCGGGCTTTGGGAACCTGCTGGCCAGGCAGCTGGACAAGCGAGGTTTGAGGGTGCTGGCCGCATGTCTGACAGAAGAAGGAGCTGAGCAGCTGAGAAAACGAACATCAGAACGGCTGGAGACAGTGATCCTGGATGTCACCCGGACAGAGAGCATTGCTGCAGCCGCTGAATGGGTGAAGGAGTGTGTGGGGGACAAAGGTACTGCCTAATTCCTGTCTGTGTCTATTGGTTTCTTCTCTGTGTGTGAAGGGAACACCTTTTGTGTGTTCCCTTGAGAGAGTTTAAAGGCATCTTGAGGAGGTGATGCTTGAAATAAGACTAAGTTCCTTCCCCTCCCCACAGTGCTAGCTTGAGCCTCTCCTGTCTCCTATTGCCTTTGGATCCCACTATTGTGGGTGAGAGGGGTCCTGCTGGGAATCTGTCCTCTTTTTCTAGATTTGCTCTGTCCTCTGCCTGCCTTTCTAAGCAGAAGTTCTAAGTTGCTAGATGCTAAATGCCTGAGTAGAGATGGGGTATCTTTCAGGAGGAGGGCTGGGGACTGGCTTCCTGGGGTGTGTGGTGCCTGGGGACACGCTGGAGCTGAGCTCCTTCCTGTCTCAGCACTGTAACTTGTTCTTACTGGGTCTCCAATATCCTCCACCTGCAGAGCCAAGATCTTCCTGTTTTCAGAAAGTCTGAGATTCAAAGTCCTTTAAGAAAGTCTAACACTGTGGTCACTTTTACTTTGTCTTTCACTACACTATTTTGTCAGTGTTGTTACTGAGAAGCAAAGGAGCATTGGTTTATTTCATGCAAGAATAAATATCAAGTTTGACTGTCATCAGAAACACCGAAATGTCTATAATCATGACAACATGAGCCATATATCTCCTCATTCAGAGAGAGGTATTAGTCACATATTGACCTACATGGAACTACATTTTGTGCATAGGTCATATGTAGACTTTTCACTGAAAAAATGAGGAGCTGCAGTTTTGCTACCTAATAAAGACTTTTCTGTGGTTCTTCACAGTCCTGCTTATTTAAACTACAGAATGGTTGGATATTGGAGTTGTTGGTGATGTTTTTGTTACTAATGTCATCTTGGTAAGCATTCCTTCATTGAAATGTGTATAAATGGGTATATCATTGGCTTTTGAAATAAGGTATGTTAGGAACAGGACACATTTTCTGTCTGCGTTTCTGAGCCGAGGAGGCAGATCTCCTGGCCATCTGTTGCAGATTTTTGTGCTGCATCCTTTGCCCTGTTTGCACAGTTCACTTGCTGGTGCTGCACTGTGCCCCTGGGTGGCAATAGTGTTTAGTCCTAGAGGTGGGTGTGGGGCTGTCCAGAGTGGCCCCAGAAGATCAGTGTTGTGGGGCCCATGCAGGATGAGGGACAGTTTCTTTATGAGGATTGGAGTTTGAGGAGAGGATTGCTGTTCTCTGTTGTACAGTGTGGGGTTGTGTATTGGGGATGGGGGTGGAAAGAGGAAGCCTGTGCCATGCTAAAGCTTCCTGTGGGTTTTGGGAGCACGCTCACTAAGGTTGTTCAATATCAGTGCCTTGGTTTTCAAGGTCAGTTTCGTGATGACAAACACAGCAGTGCTTGAAAATTTCCTCCAGTGGGGCATGAGTGCTTTGTTTTTCAAGCAACTTACACCCACGTTAGTCTTACCTTTTCTCTGTTTTTCCTTTTCCTTTGTCTCTCCCTTCCTATTTCTCCCTCAGTCTTGTGTTTCTTTTCCCTTGATAACTGGTGTGTGTGTGTGTGTGTGTGTGTGTGTGTGTGTGTGTGTGTGATATGAATTAGATACTTTAAAAAATCATGAAAAAATAAAATGTGTCCAGGATTACATCAATTTGTTTTAAAGTCAGACATCATTTGCATGTTTCCAGATTAATGAATCCACACTGTTTTTTCAGCTCCTGTTGTCATAATGATGAAATACGTAATGATTTCCTGCTAACTCCTAGCCAGTGAGCTGGGCCATGAAGAAGGAAACACAGAAGAAGACATCAAGTCTGTTTGCCATCCAGCAGTTGCAAGATGTGTAGCCAAAATCTTGCAGATACTGGGCTGTGTTGTGCTCTGTCCTGTTTCCTTCCTAGTAAAGAATGTTTTTCCATTGCTCCAAGGTGAATGTGAGCCAAAACTGTGACCACAGATACACACAGTGTGTCTCTCCCATCTTCCCTGTGTTCCTAGGACTCTGGGGCCTGGTGAATAATGCTGGTATCTCCTTCCCTTCTGCTCCCAGTGAGTGGCTGAGCAAGCAAGACTTCATGAACATACTCAACGTGAACCTGGTGGGGGTGATCGAGGTGACTCTGAGCCTGATGCCTTTAGTGAGGAAGGCTCAAGGGCGTGTGGTCAATGTCTCCAGTGTCATGGGGCGGTTGTCACCCTTTGGTGGTGGCTACTGCATCTCCAAGTATGGCGTGGAGTCCTTCTCAGACAGTCTCAGGTACTGGACAGGGGTGGGGCTGCTGGTGTTCTTGTTCCCATTGTTTTGGAGTAGCCTATTTCAGGGTTTTATGAGTCCTAGCCTGAATGACCTATCTTGTTGATCCTTTCCTATGGAGCTCTCTCATTTTCCTTCTCTTGGTGTAAGTGTTCATTCTTGGGAGCCAGTATTCCATATCTTGTGTAGAGAAAAACCCTAAGCTGAGTTAAACTTCTCCTCCACTGGAGGAAGGTTCACAGATGGAAAGCTTCTGAGGTGAAATTGGAGCAGGGATGATTTGGGCCCAGAGCCAGACAGATGTCCTGTATGACTCAGCTGGCATCAGGTTTGTTACCGAACTCAACAGATGATTATTGGGCTTTGGTTTGCATGCATGACCAATGTCCTCCACAATAGTAAGTTGTGTTCTTCATATTAGAACTCTGGTAAATGTTTGAGAGGGCAAAGTGATACAGGATGTTCAGTAACATTGTTTAGAGTAGTTTTGCCCAAGTCAGTTTTGCCTACATCGACAGGTTTAAGGTTTGTTTAGTGTGCTGGGCAAGTGGGAACAGGTAGGCTTCTGAAGGATCTGTCAGTCCAGGTAGGCCTAGATTAGTGTAGTCTTTGTGTTATTGACTGGATGCTCCCTGGAAAAGACTGAATGACGTAAGGGCGCCTAAGTCATTGGTCACTTGGGCCAGTCAGAATCCAGACTTGTGAGCTGCTAGGACTGAATTCAGTTTGAGCCACATTTCCTGGCAGGTAGTAGCAAGTGTTCAGCTGAGAGCTGGCTGGGGAGCTTACTGGGGCAGGAGAAGCTAAGACTGGGCCTGATTTCAGCAGAGGAGGCTGGGACAAAGCATGGAGATTCATCTATGTGAGGGAAACAAGCAAAGCTAGTTGTTTGTTTGTTTTAAGACATGGATCACTATGGAGACTAGACTAGCCTTCAGGCTATGACTCTTGTATCCCAATCTCTCAAGTGATGGTTTATAGACATGTGTACCTTGCCTAACAAGATAGGTTTTATTGAGTGCCTTTGAAAAGAATAGGTAGAAGACAGCAATAGGCTGGCATATGCATAATGCTTGAAAAAATGTTTACAAATATACAGAGACAATGCCATCACCATCTTTTTAACCCAAGCTCTGGCCCATTATATATCTTAAACTTCCAAATTCCTCCTATTCCAATCTCACATTAATGTGTTGTTGTGCTATGTAATTTTTTTGCTTTGCCTTCCAAGACTAATGAAGTTACTGCTTTGTGCCTTGCAGAAGAGAGCTCTCCTATTTTGGGGTCAAGGTGGCCATTATTGAGCCTGGTTGGTTCAAGACCAATGTGACCAGCAGTGAAAGATTCATACTAAGTTTACAGAAGTTGTGGGACCAGCTCAGCACAGAGGTCAAGGAGATCTATGGCGAGAAGTTTCTGGAAACCTGTAAGTGAGCTGTGGACAACAGAGAGAGAAACAAACTTGCTCATAAATCCTTCTTAGGTATACTTTTAATGTCTTCAGTAGCGTGAGTTCTGTTCCAGGCTCTGTTTCTGCACAAAGTGTTGACATTTAATACCATTCCTTTGGTGTCTCATGGGTTCTGGTCAGCTAAATAAGGCTTCTGGCTTATTCAAACTTGAAATCCCCTTGCATCTGAACCCCTCAGTATCATGAAGATAAAATTAAGGAAGAGAGGTGTACATTTATTGCCCTGTGGGGCAAGTGGCTGGTTATTTCCAATGCTTGGATAATTTCCAGTATTCAAATGAACTTTAATTTATGCAGCCCAGATATTGCAGGAAGAAAGATATCGGTCACTTAGTGTGGAACCATAGTTTGTTGTGAATGAGTTATGCTAGTTCCTGGGGAATTAGGGTAGGTTTGATTTGGATAGGTTCTGGATGTGGGGAGCAAGCATTATTAGGGAAAACTATCTCCCTAAATTGATTATAGAGCAGGAAGGTGGGAGGTAGCAATAATCCTGGATCATTTTTCTTTCTGTACAGACCAGAAATCATTTAAATTAATGGCACAAAGGAGCACACCAGACCTGTCCTTGGTGACTGACTGCATGGAACATGCGCTGACTGCTTGTCACCCTCGCACCCGATACTCAGCTGGCTGGGATGCCAAGCTCTTTTACCTCCCCTTGAGCTACATGCCCTCATTCCTGGTGGATGCCCTTGTGTACTGGGGCTCTCCAAAGCCAGCAAAAGCCTTGTAAAGCCAACTTTTGGGTGTATTGTTGGGGAAGCTCGGTATTGTGTGTGGGTTGGGACATGTCAGGTAAGGGCAGTGGGTAGAGGCAAGCAGCTTTCACACACTAGGGCCCGTATCCCACCTTCTAGGCCCAAAGGATTTTTCTCAGGTATTATTCAAGACTGGTGACATGAGAGGGAAAGAGTCAAGGACTTCTGCTGAGGAATCGGAACTCAGTATCACCCACTGATTCCCAATTCATTTAGGCACGAGCTGTTTTTTCTGTTGATTGTATATCTTCCATGCCACCTATCTCCGAGCCAGATGATTGTGGACTGAAATTTAACCAACTGTGAGCTAAATAAACCTTTCCTCCACCATCTCGTGAGTACTGGATAATTTGTCTCAGTAATGAGAAAAGTAAGACACACACCGAATTCTTTGTTTTTAACTCACGGCTTACTTTCATTAGTTTTGTTTTAGAATGAAACAGAACCTTGGGTACTTCAAAAGATCACCATGAAAAGTAATTTGAAATATTTTTGCAGGAGAAGTAGAGTACTGACCACTGGATGAAAGAGGTGGTTGTTTGGAGGTCTAGGACGAGAGGAGTCACTTGAGGGGTGATAGATTCTGCCCACTCTCAGGTATTCCTGATACAGAATACGGGACAATATTTTCCTTTCCAATCATTGCAAGTAAGTGATCTTACATGAATAGAAAAGAATGGGCAAGCAAGGAGATGGTCAGATAGGGCAGACCACATTCTATTTTCTTTGCTTGGAAATAAGGTCTATTTCCCTCAAAAAGCTTCCATCTGAAGTCACTGCAATTAGGACCAGTGCCATTCTTTTTTTAAATTTTATTTAAGGAGAAAAAGAAAAAAAAAGCAGAAAAAGGGTACAAGTTTTACAGAATTTCAGAAAAAAATAAACAGTAGGAAGTTACTAGTTAATAGATTACATATTGTCATGTTAGAAATATTTGTTCAGGTGAATATCTCTGCAAGCAGGGAGGGATCGCAGGTTCCTGAGGCACCTCGGCCTGTGGTGAGTGCTCAGCACACTCTGCCCAAATCTCAGACTGTTCCAGACCCCGCAGGCTTCCGGGTGCAGTGAAGTGGAGCAGTGGGTTAGAGGCCACTACATCCGCCTCCCCATCCCGGCTGCACTTGGAGGTCTGCTGAGCTTCCGACAGGTGGGCGAGCCCACACTATCCCCCGAGCCCAGCCTGTTTTGCTGCCGCGCCTAACCACTGGTGTGCAGAGGAGGAGCTGGGTGGATCTGGGGTGCCTGCATCTGCCTCTCTGTGTGTCAGGAGGACTGTGGATATCTTGGCCCAGACTGTTTGGGTCCCTCCAGGCTTCCAGGTGCAGTGAAGGGGAGAGGTGGGTTTGAGGCCTCTACATCCGCCTCCCCATCCCGGTTGCACTTGGAGAACTGCTGAGCTCCTGATGGGTGGGCGGGCCCATACTATCCCTCCCCCCCAGCCCAGCCTGTTTTGCTGCCACGCCTAGCCATCGGTGTGCAGAGGAGGAGCTGGGCGGATCTGGGGTGCCTGTATCGGCCTCTCTGTGTGTCTGGAGGACTGTGGATATCTCTGCAAGCAGGGAGGGACCACAGGCTCCTGAGGCACCGTGGCCTGTGGTAAGTACCCTAACCCGTCTGCGATTGAAGAGCTGTGGAGCTTCCAAGGGGCAGGTGGGCGCACAGTGTCCCTGAGGCCCAGCTTGTCTGGAACTGCAGAGATCTGAGCAGGCAGAGGAGGGCCATTGGTTCTGCAGGCCCAATGGCTTGGGGTAGGGTGGTGCCAGAGTCTCAGTAGCTGTAAACATAGAAGGGGATTTTCAACAGATCCTGAGGAAGCTTTTAACATTTGAAACACAGAAATATAGGAAAATGACAAAATGAAAGACCAAATTACAACCTCAAACCTCCAGCCCATCTCAAGAAACTCTACGAGGAATGTATTTAGAAGAAAATATATCCCATCCACCTCATATATCGGACACAATAGCTACTGAAATTGACAAGCAACTCCAGGAAGCTTTAAAGAAATTCAAACTCGAACTAATCTCCCAGATAAAAGAAGAAATGAAAGAGATTCTAAATATATCTAAAGAAAACACAGATAAAAAATTGGAGGAACTAAACAAAAAGATAGAATCCCTAGATGAGCAATATAAGAAACAAACAGAATACATAATGCAGATGCACAGAGATATACAGGAAATAAAAAACTCCACTGAAAGTTGTAAAAACTGCCTTAATGAAAGTGAAGATAGAATTTCAGACCTTGAAGACAGGATTGCAGCTAGTGAACAGGAAAGGAAAGATCTTTTAAAAATAACAAGGAATCAGGAAACAACAATTCAACAACTGCAAGACGATGTAAAGAAGAATAACATAAGAATGATAGGGATTAATGAAAAAGAAGGAGACAACATAAAGGATATCAAGAGGATATTTAGAGAAGTAATAGCTGAAAATTTCCCAAGCATGAGATCAGAAACTGACATCAGGATCAGTGAAGCATATAGAACTCCAAATAGTCATAACCAAAATAAAACTACACCCAGACATATAATAATCACCATCCCAGAAATCCAACACAAGAATAGATTATTAAAAGCTGTCAGAGAGAAAAGACAGATCACTTATAAAGGAAAACCTATCAGAATCACAGCAGACTTCTCAGCACAAATAATAAAGTCAAGAAGAGCATGGAGTGAAGTATTCCAGATCCTAAAGCAAAATGATTTCCAACCTAGACTGATATATCCTGCAAAACTATCATTCAAAATAGATGGTGAAATACGATACTTCCATGACAAAGAACAGCTGAAGAACTTCATGAATACCAAACCGACCCTGCAAAAAATATTGAAAGACAGTTTAGATACACAAAGGAAAAAAGCACTAAGCAAAGCAAATAATTAAACAGAACAGAAAGATAAAGATGCAACAGCAGAGAGATAAGATTCCTACAATTAACCAGCATTTAACAGTAATAACCATTAATGTAAATGGTCTTAATGCACCAATCAAAAGAAACAGACTAGCAGAATGGATCAAGAAACAAAATCCAACCATATGCTGTTTACAGGAAACCCATCTAACCCAGAAGGATACTCACAGACTGAAAGTCAAAGGATGGAAAGCAATTCTTCATGCAGCAGGAATCCAAAAAAAGGCAGGAGTAGCCATTCTGTTTGCAGACAACATGAACTTTAAACCAACAATGACAATAAAGGACAAAGAAGGTCACTACATACTCGTAAGGGGAAAACTCCAAGAGGAAGAGATAACTATCTTAAATATATATGCACCAAACTCCAGAGCACCCAGTTATATAAAACAATTATTAACAGAAATGAAAACTCAAATTATCAGTAACACAATTGTAACAGGAGACCTTAATACACCATTGACACCAAGGGACAGATCAACCAGACAGAAAATGAGCAAAGAAATAACAGAACTGAATCATACCTGTGAACAAATGGGACTGATAGACATATACAGAATGTTCCACCCAACAATACAGAATACACATTCTTCTCAGCAGCACATGGATCATTTTCTAAAATAGACCATATATTAGCTCACAGAACATACTTAAACTAGTGCAAAAGAGCTGAAATCATTCCTTGCATGTTATCGGATCATAGCGCTCTGAAATTAGAAATTAATGATAAAAGATACTGCAAAAATCCCACAAACACATGGAAACTGAATAACACACTCTTGAGTAATCAGTGGGTCACAGAAGAAATTAAAGAAGAAATTAAACAATACCTAAAAGAAAATGAAAATGCAGATACAACTTACCGGAATCTGTGGGATGCAATGAAAGCCGTCCTGAGAGGAAAATTTATTGCACTGAGTTCCCACATCAGGAAAACAGAACGAATACAAATAAATAACTTGATGCTACACCTCAAACAGCTAGAAAAAGAAGAGCAAGTCAAGCCCAAAGCCAAAAGAAGAGAGGAAATTATAAAAATCAGAGCAGAAATCAATGCAATAGAGACTAAGAAAACAATCCAAAGAATCAACGAATCAAAGAGTTGGTTCTTTGAAAGAATAAATAAAATCGATAAGCCCCTAGCTAACCTTATTAAAAAAAAGGGAAGAAAAGGCTCAAATTCATGCAATAAGAAATGAAAAAGGAGAAATCACTACAGACCCAATAGAAATACAGAAGATCATCAACACCTTTTCGAAAACTTCTACTCTCAAAAGTTTGATAACATAGAAGAAATAGACAGATTCTTAGAAGCATATGAAATGCCAAAGCTAGATCAAGAGGATGTAAAACTGTTGAACAACCCAATCTCTGTTAATGAAATTGAAAATGTAATTAAGTCCTTACCCACCAAGAAGAGCCCAGGCCCAGATGGATTCACTGCAGAATTCTACAAGAAATACAAAGAAGACCTAATGCCGACACTCCTCAAACTATTCAATGAAATTGAAAGGGAAGCAATCCTACCTAAGTCATTCCTGGAAGCAAGTATTACTCTAGTACCAAAACCCGAGAAAGACCCAACTAAAAAAGAGAACTATAGACCGATCTCCCTAATGAACACAGATGCAAAAATCCTCAATAAAATATTGGCAAATAGGATCCAGCAAATCATGAAGAAGATTATACACCATTACCAAGTGGGATTCATCCCAGGAATGCAAGGATGGTTCAACATACGCAAATCAATAAATGTAATCCACCATATCAATAAAGCCAAAAATAAGAATCACATGATCATTTCTATGGATGCAGAAAAAGCCTTCGATAAGGTCCAACATTTATTCATGATAAAAACTTTACAGAAATTTGGAATAGATGGTCTTTACCTCAATATATTAAAGGCCATTTATGACAAACCAACAGCCAGCATCATACTAAATGGCCAAAAATTGAAAGCCTTTACTTTAAAATCAGGCACAAGACAAGGATGTCCTTTATCACCACTCCTATTTAATATAGTACTGGAAGTACTAGCCAGAGCAATTAGGCAAGAAAGAGAAATAAAAGGGGTAAAGATAGGAAAAGAAGAAGTTAAGTTATCATTGTTTGCTGATGACATGATACTCTACATAGAAGACCCCCTAAACTCCATTGAAAGACTCTTAGATACAATAAATAAATTCAGTAATGTGGCCCGGATACAAAAATCAATACTCAGAAATCAATAGCATTCCTATACATTAATAACAAAATCACAGAGAGGGAAATAAGAGAAACTGGACTATTCACATTAGCAAGCAAAAAAGTGAAATATTTAGGAATTACTCTTATGAAAGAAGTGAAAGACTTATACAGTGAAAATTATAATACACTAAAAAAGGAAATTGAAGATGATCTCAGAAAATGGAAA